AGCACACTGGGTGTGCACTGAGCCCTCTGGGTGCTGGTGTCCCTTAGCACACTGGGTGTGCACTTGCACTTGTAGCCTATCAGAAAAGGGCAAAGAAGACTGGCAAGATGGCGGCAGGGGGTAAAAGAACTTGTCACCAAGCCTGAATATCTGAGTTTAATCCGTGGGACCCAGGTGGTGGAGGGACTCCCGCAAGGTGTCCTCTCTGGTACCCCGAGGGCGCTTCATGGACTGTCTTCCCCGTTCCCTGCCTGGTTCTATAAGAGCTCACCTCATGATAAAGTTGTGTCCGTCCACATCTTGCCCATAGCCAGAGCCCCGGAGGTTGCCTGAGTTTCCCACCACAGCACAGCGCCGGCACTGCTGAGGGTCCCGGAAGCGGTAGGGGTTCTCGCCAGGCACGATCCGGAACAGCTTCTCCAGCACCTCGTTGGTGTTGTGTGACTTGAACTGGGGTTGCAGCATCTGGGCAAGGGAGATGGCTGTGAGGATAGAGAGATTCACCCTTCAAGCCTCCCCTCCAGTCAGAGGCACACAGACCTCCCTGCCCAGGGCTCTCTGGGAACCCCTCCCCGGACACTGAGGAACTCCTCCTCTCTCGATGGTAGCGAAGCCTTGATTCCCAATGAGTCTCACTATCGAGAGACCAATACCCAGTACCCTGCCAATCATGGGCTGTTCATCCAATGTTCTAGAGAGACTTGGGATGGGAGCTGGGTGTCAAAGTGCTATTTGAGGCATTTTGGAGGGGCTTGTAGGCCTGGGTCATAAAGCAGAGCAATGTCCTTGGGGGTTCTTTTCCAATCTGTCTTTTGGGGGGCACCTGTGGGACTTGTCTGTAGCCACTCTGAACCCTCTGGGAAGCACAGGGAGCTCATAAAAAGACAGACAGAAAGAAGGAAGGAAGGAAGGAAGGAAGGAAGGAAGGAAGGAAGGAAGGAAGGAAGGAAGGAAGGAAGGAGAGAGAGAGAGAGAGAGAGAGAGAGAGAGAAAGAAAGAAAGAAAGAAAGAAAGAAAGAAAGAAAAAAAGAAAGAAAGAAAGAAAGAAAGAAAGAAAGAAAGAAAGAAAGAAAGAAAGAGGAAGGAAGAAAGGAAGGAAGGAAGAAAGAAAGAAAAATACATAAGTTCCTTCAAAGCCAGTTGGAAGAAAACTGGCTCCCACTGCTCCTTATCCAGAGCTGGAACCCAAACTGCTAATGATCAACAAAGACTCCATGTAGCAGAGGTTAGCTTTGAACTCCTGATCCTTCCGTTTCTACCTCCTAAGTATTGTGTTTCGTTAGAGACAAGGTTGCAGTATGTAGTCCAGGCTGGTTTTAAGCTTGCTGTGTAACACTGGCTGGCTCTGACCACACAGTGATCCTCCTGCCTCAACCTCCCGAGTGCTGGGATAATAGATGTATACCACCATACCCCGGCACAGTTCCACGCTCAGTGGGGCCAGGCAGATGGCGCACAGGAACAAAGGAGGTGGGGCCCACAGCAAACAAAAAATTATATGCCTGCCAAGAAAGAAAGAAAGAAAGAAAGAAAGAAAGGAAGGAAGGAAGGAAGGAAGGAAGGAAGGAAGGAAGGAAGGAAGGAA